AGTAGTGATTGCTACCATGTGTAAGATTATTCAGGTCTTCCACGTGTGGCTTCTAACCTATATGGCCACTTAAAAAAAGAGGGATTCAAGTATCCTATAAAACAGGTCCTATGTTTTACATTTGACCTTTTCCTGAATATCAACCTTATTAAAAACAAATAAAAAAACGTCCTGAATGGAAGCTGTAGTTTGATCTGGGGCTTATGGAGGCTGACAGCAACCCTGCTATTGCTTTGAGCAGGGCAGGAGCTGGTCTCTGCTTCATTCAAAAAGAAACCCGCATCAAGCTGCCTTGTGATGACCACTCCACAACTGGTTTTTATTTTATTTCATTCTAATAACCTTAGAGAAATACATTTTTCACCAGACTGAAAGCTTGTCTTCCCTGAAGCCATGGGAAGGATTAGATAGCATTACATCAGACATTTCAAACAGTAAATTCTGAACTTGGAAGAAGCACTTCAAAGCAGGGTTATGTGAAGCCTCAAGTGCCCAGGCAGAACAGCAAAGGTGAAACAATCATAATCTCCACAGTGGAAAGCCATGGATCCCATTATTTTAATCGAAAATATGTATTATTGTGAGATTTGAAATCCATGTTTGATATGCTGTGCTAGTTGCTGTAATAATGTATAATACAGGGCCTGGATTCCAAGACAAAATTTAATCAAGATAAAAGCACGTTATGAGCAGAGATTGGAAAGACTTTTGCACACCATTTTTTACGATTTTTAATAAAAATACTGCAATTGGAATTGGTGAAGGTACCATTTTTTTTTTAGCCAAAATGGTTAAATAAAAAAAAAAAAATCCACAAAAAACGCCCAACCAATACAGAAACAAATAAACATATAAAGAGAAACCTTTTTCTTGTAAAGCTTGCTCATCTGAATTTACAATGATAAATTAAATGGGAATTACTCTTCTATCTATGTCAAGCCAGAGATAAGGGCTTGCACTGCCTTAATTATATTGGTATAAGCTGGCTAAGAGCCTCTGCCTATTCACAGAAAACAGGTGCCACTTTACCAGCAATGGAGATGCCTCTTTTGTTCCCCAAACAAGGCATCAGTGAGCTGGTAGCAGTGGCCACATTTCGCTGCTTGCCAAGTCATTACCAGGAGGCAGAAATATATGCACTCAAGGAAAAGCTTGCTTTGGAGGTGGTTTGAAGTGAGAGGAAGAGGCAGCTCATCAGGTTTTAACAAAGATTGTTTCAGCAAAATGTCTTATTAGGAAAAAAAAATTGTGGGTTTTTGGTTGATTTTTAATTTTTTTTTTTTTTTTTTTTTTTTTGGTGGGGTTTAGGGATTTTTGGGGATTGTTTGGTTTTCATTGGTTTTGTTTGCTTTTTTACATTAAACACAGATATTTAATTTAATATTTAACTTACTAACAACCCACTTATTGATTGCTGCCAGCTTTGTCAGTGTTCTTTGCTCATCACTCTCCCTGGGTTGAGTTTCATAGAATCCAAACCACAGTTTGGAAGGGCACCATCTTTCTGAAGAACAGGAGCTACTCCGTGATCAAGGAGCCCCCTTTTTGTCAAGCAGCAAAAGCACAGCCAAGGCACACTGAAAAACTGATATGAACAGGACATTTTGACATTAAGCTGAAAAGACTCAATGAAAGTTTCTGCCTTGGACCTTAGCTTGTTTCCAGTCACAGAAAGTCCAGATAGAGTCTTTCCTAGATGTTCTGCAACCACAGAAAATAGTTATGACAACTTCTCCTAAAAATACTTTTCTTTATATGTCTGGAAGTACATGTATATTATTTTATGGTTTTCCCATTGCTATATGCTTAATAACAATCCTGGCTTATGTTCTTTGCTAAACTTGGACCAGAAATGCTACATTGTTTGCCCACAGTCATACCAGAATGTCTGAAAATGACATTTGGATTCTCTCCAAGTTATTGGGATGAATATACTGGTCTGCTTAAAAAAAAAAAAAAAAAAAAAAAAAAAAAAAAAAACACCAGCCAAAAAAGCCCCACTTCCTTGGCTATAAAGTTCCCATACTTACCTCTCCTACCCTATAGGTGTGTTTCTGCAGCCCTGTGACCCTTGTCTCATAAGCACCTCTGAAAAAGTGTTACAGGCAGGATATTGAGGATATTGAAGTCAGTGAGGAATTAAAGCACTTGCCACAGATGTGTGCATGGGAGCTGTTCTGCTAATGGTGGGAGGCATGAAACCTTCATGCCCAGTGCAGCCACAGGCAGCAGCTTTGTCTCAGCAGCTGCTGGGTTGATGTTGCAGCCACTGTGAAAAAGTGGTCAGACCACATAGTTAATTGAGTTCAGATGTATGAGGAGCAGATAATCTTACATGGACTGACACCCTTACACTTCTCACACCTTATAGCTCCTGCTTGCCTTCCATCACAGGACATCCACCATAATCCCAATCTCCTCTCATACCCAGTACTTCAATCTTACATTCCCTTCTCTTGCAATACCCTTTTCCTCTTTCAGGCTTCTGTCTCCTGCAAAACCTACCTCTCAAATCCAATATTCCCTGAATTTTATGTTGGCCACTCCCACCTCCAGCCTCAAGCCCATGTTCCTCTCAGTTGCTTTTTGGCACCTCCTGGGATATCTCACAGGCATCCAGCCCAACAGCATCACCTGGAGCCATCCAGCACCAAAAGCCTGGATGTGAGAGGCAGCAACACTGACAGACTTGTCCCTACAGGGACCCTCAGAACAAATCAGAGCAAGGGAATGAGCTTTAACTGGCTCCTGGTGACAGCCAACTATATTGTGTGCTGGATGAAGCCTGGTGGCTAAGTGCAAAGCAGATTTATTGTGGACAATGTTGCCTCCTTGGGCTTGGGCAATTAAATATTGTGTATATCTCACACCTCTGTTTATGAAACAAATTGAGGAACTTAGCACAAAAATGAAGCAATCAGAAGGGCTATGGAAATACTAAGTTATTGTTAAAACCACTGAGTAGGTGGACCAGAGGTATGTGCTTAATGCTGTGTATTCACTGATTTATAACTTAGAAACAGGCAGCCTTTTCATTTTCAATTTAATATACATCTGTCCTTTATCTGGCTTCTTTCTCAATTAACCTTACTTCTAGCTGTATTGTAAATGCCTTTGAAACAGAAGATGGAGAACACAGGTGGTTTCTAGGATGGGAGGATGAATAAAAGAGACAGATCATCTGAATTATCCCAGCTGAAGCAATAAAATGTGAGTGACCTGGGAATGTCCTGTGTGTCTGGTTTTGGACCATAAAGTCTGCCCAGAAAGGATGCCATATATCTGCATTAGTCCCTGAAGCAGGCTTAGCAGTCTTTTTGGAGGCCTGAAACTGCATCTATCTATCATTGCTACTGTAATCTTGAAAGCAGAAGGCTTAATGGCAAAAGCATCCTAAAGCTACAAACATGGTAGGAAATAAAACACCACAGTTGTTCAGAGGGGGAATTCCCAATCAGTGGCTGGGCTGTTTGTTGCAAAACCATTTCAGTTGTGTTTCCATATTAAATATTCAACACTCCTGCAGCAGCTCTTGGGCTCACAGTAAGGTCACTTGGGCTGTCTGCAGCTCCCATACATGCAGGTCTGGGCTAGGAGCCCAACTTATAATTGCTTTAGTACCAAGAGCTCAGCAAAAGCACTGCAGGAAAGGGCCTCTGTCCCTGTCAGCTGCGATTCTCAGTGACACCTTTGAAATTCACTTGTGAATAACTGATTAGATGGATTAACTCTGGCTCTTTGCTCCATATACCCGAAGGCGAATTTATTCCTTTGTAGGCAATAATGTCTTCTAAAGTAAATAAACAAAAACACAGATGGTGGTTTACCTGTTCAATTAATATTTTGTTGTTAATTATTTGTAACAAACTCTCAGAACTATTTCTCATGATAATAGATAAAGACTTACCATGGATCAAGAGCTGGTGTTTGTTGTGGGACCAGCATTTACCAAGGAGAGTATAACAAGTCCAAAAAACAGTCACAAAATAGTCACAATGTACACAAGATAGATTTATAAAGGCTAAAGAGATGAAACTGAGAGGAGTGGATGTGGAAGGAAAATGTAGCCAGTAAAAAACTAATTAAAATCTGTAGGGAAACGGCAACAGACGTTATAAAGCAATTTAAAGCAAGTGAAATGGAAATTATAATTAAGATACTTGTAAAGAAACTCCGAAAAAGCTATTATAGAGAAATCTATGCTTGGTAGGATTAGTATGTTTAACATGTTGGTAATAAAACAAATCCCTAAGACAACATAAGCCTATTACCACACAAAGCTGGTACCTTTATCAATACTGCTGCAGACAAGCTGTGCTCAGTAAATATCTCTGCTGTACCTAGAAAGCACAAGATGAGGAAAAAGATGACAGATTTTCCAGGCCATTAGTAGCTGAAGACACATTAGGCAGCATTTTCTAGAGATAAATATTTTAAAGCAGAAGTTCAAATAAGAATGATCTCAGGGTTCCAAGAGAACTGACTAAAGTGGTCTCTGCCATGCAAATGTTCATTTATAACATATTTTGGAATACCAGGGAAATACCAGGGAAGACAGCTAATATTGTGTCTGCATGGAAAAAAGGGAGTGGTGAGACAAGAATAGGCTGGTGAGCCCGACATCAACACCAGGCAAAAATATTTATTGCTTTCTCTCCTCCTTTTTCACTCCTGACCTTGTTTCTTTTTGAACACCAGCCTAGTGACCCTGAAGCAACCTTTTAGTTGCTTCGTTTTCCTATGCACTAGGAGTTGAGACTGATTCCCACTGAGGTCTCTGCAAGCCTGACTGGAATTCCAGTGCCTTCCCTGCTAAATACAACCACACATGGTCCCCAAAAAGGCTTGGGAAGCAGCTGGCCTGCTATGTGACAACAGCACAGGAGCTGGGAATCAGCCAAAGAGTCAGTACCAGCTGATGGATTTAAATAAGGACTCAGCTCCGAGGAATCAGAGAGGAGCAGAGGAGCATTGTGGAGGAGGGGCAGTTCTGAGTGACACAGGCTGCAGGGGCTCTTCCCTGGTTTCTCTTCTGAGAGCTAAAGTGGGAATGCCTGACCCATGGAAAATGGTGGGTTCTGTTGTGCCTTTTTCTTTCTTGTTAATTAGTAGGATAGAAGTTTGGGCCAGGCTTCTCTAGTTTTAACAGTCTGTAGCCAGAAACAAGAACTGCCAATAGCCCCTTTAGGGCTTGTGTTTTCTGCTATTATTCTATCCCTAATTTTTCTGCCTTTCCTGCTTACTCTTTTTTTATTTATAATACATATTTTTTCAGATATTCCTGATAATTTCCTCAGCCAGTCACTTTGCCAAAAACACCACTTGCAAAGTGCAGCCTCATGGGGGTAATCGGAACAGAAGAGAGCTTGCACGGGTAATGGAGGGCATACCACAGAGTCTCTGAAACCTGCTGAAGGAATTCAATATATCATGTCTCTATCACAGAGGAAAGACTTGTGGAAAGATTCACTGACCTCTGCTTCCACATATCCCAGGTACTTGGGCTTTGGTACTGTTTGTTGCACAGGCCAGCCTGTGTTTGATGGTACAAATTTCTTGGGTGTGCCATTTCTGATTTTCACCCAAAAGTAAAGAAGACCTGCAGGGACATTTAGTGGGCTGAGAACAAACACAAAAGGTAGTATAACATCTGGAATTCACAGTTTTTCTTCCTTTACTAATCTTATTTAACAAGCATTTTGCAATAGACATGAGAACTGAGGGGCAAAAAAGCATGAGAGCACTGTTCCACAACAAGTTAACTGGAAGAACAAATCAAACCAGAGGCTATCCTCAACAAAGAGTACTTCAGTAAAAGGAAGAAGGTATAAAAGCTGGAGACAAGAAAGGATAACATCACATTGCATACAACACCATCTTATTTTCTTATGCACAAAATTAGGATTACTTATGATTCTCATACTCCTAAAAGTTGGATATGCTGCAGTCAATAAAGCAAGATATGACCACTACAATCACTGGTTCCCAAGGTCTGAGATGGCTGTAGCATACTTCTGAAGCTTTTATTGTTATTATTTTAATAACCCTGGATACAGACTCCAGAGGACAAAGAAGATGTTATTTTTCATTAAGTGGGACAAGGAGAAGAAAAATAACTTCATTTGCTTCAAAAAGTGAAGGGAAACTCCCTGCCCTGATTACAGCTATATAAGGGTTAAGAGAGGAGCAAAGGCAAGTAGTATCAGCCAATGTCATTGCATATGTGTCCCACCATAGACCAAAAGAGGCAAAAGGGCAGAGAAAAGGACCTTCTACCACGTCCTCCAATGAGCTATCTGTGGGACCATGTGCATCATCTAGTTGGGAGAATATGGATGCCTGAGTCGGAGTTTTGGCCACTCTTTTCAAGGCAAAGGGATCCTGACCTGCTTGCTAATATAAAAAATGGAAACCAGTCCAGTATGACATATACATTTCACCCTTACATGGCAAAAGTTATCAATGCCTCTCTTATAGTTTCTCTTGGAGGATCAGTAATGATGCTGTAAACTTGCAAGCAGCATCACTTAAGTAATTTGTCCAAGTAAAATTCATTAGAGAGGTGATGTCCTCATACTTTTAGTCATAAATAGCTGCTCAGCAGTGGAGAGGCATTTAAAAAAACTTTATGAAATAACACATTTCCTAGTTTGTTGCCTGAGGACATGTTAGCTAGACAGGCTTCCTTGTCTAAATAAAATCAATTGATGTCAGCTAGACAGGCTTTCTCATCTTAGCGTATGCAATAGTTGTTAGCTAGACATATTCCTAACTTTAATAACAGCAGTTGCAGTTGTTGAATATTGTTTGTGGCAGGCTTGTCAACAAATGTCTGTTTAATTTATGAAAGAGAATTGTGTCAACAATAGGAATTTATTGTTTTCTACATTTCATGCCTTCTGGAGTCCTTGGTGTATGACATGTTATGGAAAAGGACTTGTGCAAAATGCAAAGCTCTGAGTGAATGTGGGGTCACACATTTGCAGCCACAAGCATTAAATGTTTTGAGCTGCAACACCCCTGGAGAGGTTCAAGGCCAGGCTGGATGGGGCTGTGAACAACCCAGGCTACCCAGTGGAAGGTGTCCCTGACCACAGCAGGGGGTTTGGAACTAGATGACCTCTAAGGTCACTTCCTACCCAAAGCATTCTGTGATTCAATGAATTCAAACAGGCTCCTTCCAAGGAATTAGGTAGTGCTCTTCCTTGCTCACCTTTTTTTTTTTTTTTTTTTGAATTATAATGTAGGTATTGAAACACAAAAATTTTTCTTCGAGCTTTCCAGGATCACTATAGAAGAGCAGAAAGTTGCAGCATTTCACTCAGAAAATACTATTAGAAAACTACATTTTCACTATATTGTCTTGCTGAATTCATGAATAATTTCAGGAACCCTAAAATTGCATTTCTCAATGAAATTGCTGATGGCCGAGGGTATTTTAGTAAACCCGTCAGCAAACAGGCTGAGTCTTTCAGCTCACTACTCAGGCTGCTATGATCACATTTCTTTGTTTCTGTTGGAGCTCTCTAGCATTTTGTCCCCTGATTGCCCAGATATGGCAAAGGAACCACTGCACAAAGCAGAAAATAAGGGTGAGAATAAAAGTGTGTGTCCCAATCTTTTCCTGTTTGTCAGTAATCTATCCTGGACCTCAAAAGTTGAAGTGTTATGGAGTTTTGTGGTCTAGATAAATAATCTGTGTCCAATTCCAGCTCTGTCTCAAAGGAGAAATCTGTCTCTAACTTAAATTTTCATGAGGAAACATCTCTAAATGTGACACACCCTGTTTTCTTATGAGATAGCCTTTGTAGAAATGTCCCTGGTGGGCTACTCAACTCTCCAAAAGTCATTACTAATTTCAAAATGTAGGTCATTAACGTGACAGAATCTTCTACTGAATAGATGTTTCTCTGCAGAATTTCAATACCTCTCTTTTGGCTAGGAAAAGTAACTCCTTTTAAAATTTAGATATAATGATAGGTATTAAAGGAGAGGACCAGTTATGGTAATTTTGATAAGTAATGAAATATCATACCTTGTGTATATATTGATTAGCTTTCCTCTGTTGTGGTACACACAGATCATGTCCAATATGTCTTGTAAGACCCCTAACAAAGCAACAGCTGAATGTTTTAAATCCTCTAACATATTTAACTTCATAGCCACCTTGACAGGTAGGGGAATGTTAGAGTGCCCAAGATCTATGTAGCTCTTCCTACCTGTAAATACCTCACTGAAACAGCTACATAAATCCAGCCACCTTAGGGTCCTCCCCTGGCCAATGAAACACAAGCATTGTTGGAGTCAAAGTCACCCTGAGCGAGTTCTTAATTTCTCAGTCAGGCCACCTCACCAGGCACTGAAGAAGGATGGTGAAGGTTATCATTTGAAGGACAAGACCTAACAATTCACAGTAGGTGCAATGGACTTGGGCCTGACCTCTGGGGCATGGAGAAGTTGAAAAGAAAGTGTCTGCACACTGTCCTTGCAAAGTCATTGTGATGCCAAGATGCGCTGACTTGCACAGACATTCAGCCTGCTTACCACCCACAGGCTTACCACCTTGTCAAAAAATCCCTCTGAAGTCTGAGACTAACAGAGACAGGCCCTGAAAGCAGATCTAGCTTCCAGCAATCCATCATCATCCAAGTCAGAGCTATTTGCTCCTCTGGAAGGGGTTAGTGTTTGTGTTTTGTACCTCCATGTTACAACTGGTAGCAAATGCTGACTAGAACTGGTCTGTAGCACCAGGAAGGGAACAGCTCTCGGTGAAAACAATGAGTTTGTCATGACAACCTATGACAGGAAAAAATCCAGGATTGTTTTTCAAGAAACATTTATTGAGAAAATTTCTTTTATTTTAAAATATGTTTGGGAGCATTGCAGGGAGTTCTGGTTCTTTTCAAGGATTGTCTGATACAGTAGAAATATACCAAAAGAGAGAGGCAGGGAAAAAAAGTCACACAGAAAGGGATAGATGGACAGAATTGTAAGTAGTAATGTGATAATATTCTTGTATATGGCACCATCATTTCTCACAGCAAGACTGTCTGACCAGATGTGGGTGGAAACAGAAGGAAGGAGGCAGAGAACATGTGGTGGGTGAGGGAATCCAGGTCTTTGAGGACAGTCTGTTAAGTGCTGGTACATGTATTTCTGTGGGAGTGGGAGGAGCTCCTATTGTATTTCAAGCTGAGAAAAGAAACCTTATACCAAATTATCACTTGCAGTAAGTGCAAGTTCAGCCACTTGTGAGAAGGCAGTAAAACATTCCCAGGGAAAGTTTCTTTGCACTCCTGCTTGATTTCAAGAGCTTTCTTAAATTTTGAAAATTATTAATAGTGTCAGGCATAAATAGGTGCCTGGGAAGAAAAAGAGTTTTCCAAGGAAAATATACGTAAAAATGATCCGACCTCCTTTTTGCGGTTTTGCTCAGACAATGAGAAGACACCACTTCTACAGGGAGGAGCTGAAAGGAGGGTTTTCCCTGCACAGACATCTGTTTCAGGCTGAATTTTCATGCCCGTGTTGTTTTCCCTTCTGGCAGTAAACCACTCGGCTCGAATGATCATACACCCCTGTGCTGAGGGACTTGAATGAATAGGAAGAAAAAAGCTCTTCAAGAAGCTTTGAAATGGCAAGAGGGATCAAATGAATATTTTCATTGGCATCAGCTAGTCCCCCTTTGTTCAGAGCAGAAGCTTTGAGAGTCCAGTGCCTGGAGCATCACAAAGTCACAGACCAGCACTTGGAGATCACCAAGGTGAGGGAGCATATTGCCTCTTTGGATTCCCAGGCACTCTTTAAAAGAAATGAGGAACATACACAACAATATTTTTTAATACAAAGCTGCCACCAGCTTTTTGTATTCAAAATTCTGCCCCATTCAAAGGCTTAAGGCAGATAAACCCCCTCATCTGATAGGAATAATTTGCACAAGTCCATTTTGAAGCTAGGAATAATTTTGAACAAAATTCTTGTTAGGAAACATGTAACAACACCACAGCTGAGTCCCTTGCAGAGTGAGAGCTGAAGTCTTTGGATCTCTTCCTCTGCCCACCAAACCCCATGTGAAAAGCAAGATGAGGTTCCCACAAGCAACTCCAATTTCAATCCTTTTCAGACTTTATTTCTTCAAATCTGTGGCCTCCCGTGGTAGCAAACTATGCAGGCTGGCTACCAGCTGTGTGAAGGCCTGATTATTATACATTTTAAATTTACCTGCTGGCAGCTACATTTGCACTCAAGTGCCAGAAGAATGGAAAAAATAATGTAATGCATCTCAGTTGTTACACAGAGTTGTTATGGAGACAGGATGGGTCTGGAAAAGAGTATCAGAGAAGGGTCCGGCCAAAAAACAGTATCAGGTCTCTCAGGAAGGCTCCCCAGAGGAGTGTTTAAATCTCAGTCTGGGAATCTCTCAGTGTGGAAAGTGGAGCAGGAAAGGAACAGATCGATCTGCAAGGATCCAGAATGGAATGGTTGGACTCTCACCTGCCTGAGCCATGCAGGATGCAGAGGAAGAGCAGAAGGATTGAAGCAGCAAAGAGACAGTTGGACATGGGTAGCTGTGGAAAAAAGGAGCCTATTGCCTAAGAACTTTTCACCAGTTTCACTAGCTCATGCTTCTGAAGAGTTTAGTGCGAAGTACTTTGGGTTTCACTCAAAGCCTGCTAAGTCAATGGGAATCACTCTGGTTTTCTCTGTGTTTTGGACTGAGTCCTTTCAAAACAAGCAGTGGATAGAAACATAGGCTTTCTACTTTTCTGTGGCTAGGATTTTCAGCATACCTCAACTTTTAGGATCATGAGTGAGTTTTCCAAAACAATTTCCCTGGGAATGAAGAAATTATCACAAATGACTGAAATACCCAGGCTCTCTTCAGGTGGTTCCCTGGCCAAGAGAGAGAGACTCCCTGCAGCCTCACACTTTGCCTGGTGATCACGAGACAGGAGCAGACAGGCTGGCAGCCAGCTCTGTGGGTCTCCACCACAACCAGGAGTAAGCACAGCCTTACAAGAGCTGAGCTTTGCTCACCCACTGGCAGCTGCCTGACAGAGCACTTCACCTGCATTTAGGAAGTTCAGTAAATTTCTGAGAATCTGGACTTAACCAGCTTGTTTTGTTTGTCTGTAATTATGGCCACGTGGTCCCAGTAAGAGCTTCAGGTAGCTGAACTCCTTCAAAGGTCTTGTCCTGGCTGTGAGTACTCTGAATTTTGCCAGCTCTGCCCCAGCACCCAGGCAGCATTGTCTATTTTCTGTGGTAGCAGAACACTAAAGCGTTGAGTTTTTCACCACATGCTGGAGCTGGAGCCCTGAGCACATAAGCTGGCCAGAAGTGGCATTGAGCCTACTGAACATAAACGTGTGCAGTTGTCTTTTAAATAAATTTTCTACTTAATTAAATTTGAGGTTAGATTTATTACATGGGACATTAGTCAGAAAAGATCCTGAAAAAAGGCGTTTTTTTTTCTTTCACTAAAACTTGGACTGTTGAGGTGTTCTTGTGTGTGGTATCTCAAAAACACCTTGGCTAGCTTTTGATTTTAAAATAAATACATTTAGAGAGGCAGAAAGTGTTGCAGATGTTTATATTTTGCTTGCCTTTTATTGAGTTCCTCTAATTCTGAAAGAGGAAATAATTTTTTGTCCTGAAGTGGAATTTTTTTGTCCTTAAGTCTTTTTATGGCATTTGTGTTTTCTAAGATGTAATTTTCTACTACTTGTTATCAGTTATATTTTCCAGCTCACAAAGTGTAGATAGTTCATTTCCCTTTTCCAAAGGACCTCCATAGGTGTTTTAACATCTGCAGGAAAATGGGCACAATAATTTCTGCATCATGGGGGAGGTTCTAAGGGGACTGAGGTAAAATAAAAGAGTATCCAGTCTGCTTGTAGCCTCTTATATAAAACATTTTTGCAATGAAAATTGACAAATTGTCAAAACCTTTTGGGGAGGAGGCCATTAAGTTTTTTTTAATTACTTGAATTTTTTATTTATTAAAAAATAAAACCTGATTTTATTTTCCACAGTTAAATTTTAAGCCAAGTTTCCAGCTGCAAATGATTTTTGCAAAACTTATGGGGGAAGATAATTAGAAAATAACAGTCAGATAAAAACAATATATCCCAAAGGCATTTAAACAAAGCATAGGGATGGTCACAAACTTCTATTTTGCTTATCCCTTTGTAACAAAGTAGTAGTCAGAATGTCTTTGCATTATGATACAGGACGAGAAAAAAAAAGTCAGAAATCTCACAAATTTTTCTGAGATGGAGCCATTGTCCCTACCTGACCAACTCTTCCACCCAAGACTTGCAAATCACATCCCTTCCTCTAACTTCCACATTCCACCAGCACAGGGAATGCTGTGTGCTTCTTTCCCTGATTCTGCAGCATGAAACCCAAAAAAGGCACACCCATGTGGGGAAGGACCCCCAGCTTGGTGAGAGCTGCAGGAGCACAGCTTAGTAACTGCTGGAGAGATTAAGGCTGCCAGGCTGCAGCTCTGACCAGCGCCGGGGACTAAACCTACAAAAAGTGGCTCTTTCCCACACACCAGCCAGCCCGAGCGGCTCACCTTGACTGCCTCAGGGACATGGCCTCCGGGAGAGGCCTTGGAGTGTTCACTGCCCCCGCTCCTTACCGCTGTGTCCTGTGTCTGCAGCGCCGTGCCTCTGTTCAGAGTTATTGGTGGGGCTCTGCAGCTCGTGTTAGTGACATTCGTACCTGGTTTTCAAGAGTCTCTCCAGCTCTGCCAGGCTGCTCCTGCTCCTCTCCAGCTCCCTGAGGGACAGCTCTGTGCACACTGCCCAGAGCAGGACACACAATCATAGAAAGTCAAGGTTGGAAGAGATCTTCAAGATCACCCAATCCAACTGTCCACCCAGCACTGCCACTGTAACACCTAAATCACTAAATCAAATCACCAAGCTCCAGATGCCTCCTAAACACCTCCATGGTGTCATTCCACCACCTCCCTGGGCAACCTACTCCAGAGCCTGGCCACCCTAACAATGAAAATGCTTTTCCTAATATCTAACCTTCATCTGCCCTATCTCAGCTTAAGGCCTCCTCTTGTGCTCTCTCTGCAGGCGTGGCAGAAGAGACTGGACCCCATCTCACTACACCCTCCCTTCAGGCCGCTGTGGAGAGTGACAGGGTCCCCCCCAAGCCTCCTCTTCTCAAGACTGAATAAATGTAGCTCCTTCAGTTGTTCCTCATGTTTTCTAGTCCTTTTGTGAGACTTGTTGCCCTTCACTGGGTGTGCTCCAGTACTTTAAAGTCCTTTTTGAAGTGAGGGGTCTAGAACTGAATGCAGCATTCCAGGTACAGCCTCCCCAGAACCAAGTAAAGGGGGACAATCACTGCCCTGGTTCTGCTGGTTACACTATTCCTGGTACATGCCAAGATTCTTTGGCCTTCTTGTCCACCTGGGCACATGCTGGCTCATGTCCAGCTACTATCAACCAGCACCTCCCAGGCCCCTTCTGCCAAACAGCTCTTGAACCAGTCCTCCCCAGGCCAGCAGAGCTGCATGGGTTTATTGTAACTCAATGCAGCACCAGGCACTTGGCCTTATTAAACCATGAGCAAGGCTGCTCTGTCTGTCCATCTGCAAAGTTATGTTCTCCACTGCTGTGATTTAACCCCATCCAGTCACTATGTACCACACAGCACTCACTCACACACTCCCTCACTCACTCACTCACTCACTCTCACTCACTCTGCTTCACCCTGCTGGGATGAGGAAATCAGAAAAAGCCCCTTTTTTTTTTGGGTTATCTGACTTCAGATCCGAACTCTTATCTGAGTTCAAATAAGAACAGTCTAAGACTTGAAATATACTACTACTACTACTACTACTACTACTACTACTACTACTGCTAGTATTATAAGGAAAAGGAGAGTGAAGCGGATTAAAATGCAAGAGAAATAAGTGATACGCAGTACAAGAGCTCATCACTGTCCCCCATCGGTGGTCAGCCCCTTGGCCAACTCTCCTCAATTTATATACTAGGTGTGATGCTCCATGGAATATCCCTTTGGCTAGCTCAGGTCAGCAGTCCCAGTCATGCTCCCTCCTCTTTTCTTGTGCACTTCCTCAAAGGCAGAGCATGAGACACTGAAAAGTCCTTGACCCAGGGTAAGCACTACCTAGCAACAACCAAAACATTAATGTGTTATCAACGTTATCTTGCTGAATCCAAAACACAGCACTGCACCAGTACAGTGTGAAAAAAATGAATTCTGTTCCAGCTGGGACCAGGACACCCATGTTAATGGCTGAGGATTCCACAAGAAGATTGGGGTCTGTTTTGATTTCCTCAAATGGGGAATAGGGAGATTGCACATTCAGACTTTTGAGCTTGCATAGGCAGAAGAGGCAGATTCAATCCCCCTTTTAGCAAAGGTGTATTAGTGCAGCAATAGAGGTGAGAATTAGAAGAATTATAGTGACCATTTGCCCACCCAAAGGAGACAGGAACTCTCCACAGGGTGCTGATAGAGTCTTACCCGGTTCACAGGTCCAGCTGCAGCGGGATGAGCACAATGGTTGGATTGCTGAGAAAGGGAAATGCTTATCTGAAAGAAAGGGATGCAGAGGACAGCTCAGTAATAACTTTCCTGCAAGACCCTGTATCCTTCTTTGGAGATGTTGAAAAGTAAGCTGAACAGGGCCCTGAGGAAGATGCCTGAGCTGGCCATGCTCTCAACTGGCCAGTCAGAAGCTGGAGCTCCAAATATTTCTTTCAGTCTGAATTTTTTTCTGATTCTGTGCAGGTAGTACTGCAACACCAGATACAAGCATCACACCAGACACAAAGAAATAGTAAAAGTCACGAGCACTGAGAGAGAAAAGAATAACCTATGGAAGTCATGTATCCAGTCATATTCTTAAGCATAACAGCATGGCCTGTGTGACAGTGGTGATTCTGGATACTTATAGATAAGCCCAGACAAACCATGGTTCACAATACAAGAGATTTCTTTTAGTTTAAAAAACAACAAAACAACACAAAAAAAAAGCCCCTGAAGCTTGATCCAATCTCCTGGAAACTGAATTTGACTTCACTGGTTGTCTGCAAGATTTTAAAGCTCCCATCAAACTGACAACCTGAGGACATATCCATATATTCCAGGACCTCAAGAAAGTGTAATGATCAAATTTGGTTCCTTTCTAACATATGCTGTAAGACTACCCTTCAATCACTTCTGTAGTGACAAAAGTGTATCTTCTGGAAAAAGCTCTGAGACTTAATGGAAGGAACACAAAATGTTCCTTGGAGCAGAGGTAATTGAGACAACTGAAGTCCCTGCCAAAGGTACCAATCATTACAGCAGTGGCTGAGAGCAGCTAAGCTACATGGGATGAAAGGATTTCTGTTGGACCAACCACGACTCTGGAAGCAGAGAGCTGTGAGAGAGAAGGCCAGAAAAAAGCCAGAGATGCAAAATACTGAATTTTGAAAAAATCAGGCAAAAAGCTTCTGGCACATTTGGATTTCTCAGTGAGGAAACCACCTCCTGCTTGCTTGTATTTTTTATTTATTTTGTGAAGCAAGGAGACCTGGCTCACATTCCTGGCAAATAAATCAGATTGCACAAAGACTCTGCATGACTCTATCAGCTCCTCCTCCCAAAAGAAACATGACACAGAAAAACCCTGAATAGCTGCTAAACATTCAAGCCAAAGGAGCATGGGATTTCCTGCAGGAGAATTTTATGGTTTCTTTGCAGCATTGAGAGAATACTTGGTGTGAGCTGTTCTGCCAGAGGGGCCCATGTGACATAGAACTGCTCCTCAGAGCACACAGAAATCACTGAGAACACGACTTTCTGCCTGTGGGTAGCTATGGTCACAGTGAAGAAACAAGCTAGGCACATGGAACTACCACATGTGCCACCACCAGCGAGTTGAGGCTGCTGGCAAGTGGCACTCTCAGTGTGCAGCAGGGATGAGAAAGCAGTGCAGGAGCTTGCAAAGAAATTACCTACAATCCTTAATGCTTGATTTATTATTAACATATTCAGGAAATATGGGGATGAGCTTCAGATGCTTTATGACAAATGTTCCATGTGGTGGTTCCTTCACTGTGCTGGGAAGAGAGAGAGACAAATGAGCAATTGGGCCCAGGATGAACAGGGATATTAATTAAGGAGATTGTACCAGCCCCTTGAGCCCTGTAGATCCCTCTCTGGCAAGTGGTTCAGAGTTCAAAAAATTCACATATTGCCCTTGGTTTATGTCAATAATGTAAAATGTGTAACATCATATTCTCCTTAACATGCATCTAGCAGAAAGGAAAGAGAGCAGCTGGAGCAGGAGATGCCTGGAGTACCTCACCAGAATTTCTCCAGCTACTTACAGAAAACATCTCTCTTGAGAAAGAAGGTATAATTTATTCATAATTACAGTAGGATATTTTTTAGCACTTAAGTCTCCCACATTTCATCTTTTTTAGCCAATCACATCCTTACTATTTTTTTACATTGTATTGATATCTGACAGGGACAGGCAGGTTGTAGAGAGACAGCATCCTTACTGTCCAGCAGGCCCTGTAAATCTGATGGATGGACATCAACAACATGGGCTCTGGTTCCAAGCCAAATTCAACTACATCACACAGCTGGTTCAGATTGGTTAAGTGCAGTTAAAATTCAGATGTTTGCCATACATCTACAGGTCATGGCTGAGAGTGAGATCTATAATAAAAACCAGGAGATCCAAGTTACTAAAGTATTGAAACAAGTTCCCTACTGATGTCAATGGGACTGAAGTACCTAAATATTTCTGCTTCTAAGCTTTCCTCCCTTTGTTCATCTCTGTCCCACCACAGATAGTCAAAAAAGAGAAACAGAACACGCATCCATTTCATTGTGCAGTCTCCAGTTTCACTGATCACTTCTTTGTCTCCTGAGTTGCCTGTAGTCACCTGTAACCTACTGCATGTGCATGTCTGTAGTGCCTTGGGCCTCCAAGGAAGAGAAGGAATCATTCCAGAATATTTTTACTTCCAAGCAGATATTTGCTTAGACAGTTTTAAACCCAGAATGGAAGAATTCAGTTGGCTAAAGATACATACAGTGTCATCGAAGGGCTTGGCATATCAAGGCAAATGTGACAAAAACCTGTGGGAAACTTGCATCCTCACAGGACAGCATTTGGTTGGGAAAAAGACGTGAATTCACTAAAATGGTACCTGGTGCCTATATTCAGGCCATTGAGCCAGGCTCCAAATGTCATTTCAGAAGTAAAGGTTATTCCAGACAAAGGCATTTGTCTGGAAACGTTAGATGATTTCCATCTTTACATTATGGGGTTATCAAGACATACCATAAATTTTGAAGATGAAGGGGAAAGACCTTTCTTAAACTATATCCAAGCTTCAGGTACATCTTCTATGATTCAAGACTCACCAAGCAATTTAGTCACAAGGGCTGGAGGCAGTGTGGAGCTGGGCCAAGCAGTGAGGCCCTGTGGGGCAGCAGGATGTCTGGGGACTCAGCAGCAGCAGGGGACTGTGCTGCCTTTCAGTAGGTACAGGCAGTACCTGCAGCAATGCCTCTGGGGCTCCCTGGCACACTCAATTGATGAAGGCTGTGTTCAAGAGACACATGGGCCAGAAAATGGCACTGGTTATCTGAAGGTCCATCAGCAGAGCTCCCCAATAGAGCCATCATCCTGCAGTTATGTGGGAGCACACGTCTGGCTGCAGGAGGAGTGTAAGGGGGAGCCATTTGGGAGTGTCTTTTTTAACGCAAGAAACTCAAAAATTTTTGCGTCTGGAGGAATCAGTCATCCCTTAGATGTTGGGCCATTTTCTTCACAAATGAGCCTCCTCCCAGACAGGGGAAGGAGAGAGATGTTCCCTGTGTCATGAGCAGGGTGGGGACTCACAGCTCATTGGTGTTTGTCCTAGTTTCCCTAACACATGTCTGAGTCAGGGAAGATCTGCTGTCGGAGAAAGTGCAGGCTGTAATAGTAAGGTGAAAATTCCTCTGTTTGCATCATTGCACTTTATTTCCTCATCTCTAGCAAATAAAAGCTGTTATGAAATGCTGGTTTTCCTTTCACCCTCTGATGAGTTAATAGGGAGCCCAATTAAACGCAGCACAAGATAAACCAATTATTTGTGTCTCCCACTGTCTGACTCCCTTTCAGAACTGTTACATCACTTTTAAGTCATTTCCTTCCCCAGATGAGGCAGCTTCACTTAC